TTTGGTTTTGTTTTACATGAAAATTATCCATTAAAATGATATTTTTTTCCACAATTGGTTATAAAATTTGTTTCTATTGCCAAAAAGTAAAAAAAAAACAAAAACAAAATTTTTTTTTTAACGTGAGCAGTGGGAAAGGCTTTTTCCACTAAAAAGTTGGGAAAAGCTTTTCCTTAATTATGAAGAAAACAGGCACGTGAGCCTAGCCATGGCAAAGTGTTTTCTTGTCAAAAAAATCCCTATCAAACACTACTAAAAGTGGAAAATGAAAAATGGTTTCCATTTTCCCTAGAAAAACTCACCTATCAAACATGCCCTTATTGAATTAAACTTTTTGATTCCATCTCATTAAATTGCGGAGTTTTCCCAAAATGTTTCCCATTGTCGGTCTCCGTTTGCATCCCTAACTTTCTTGATTTTCCATGAATAACGTCAAGAAGAAACCCTGTATAAACACCGCCACAGCGGTTTCTGAAGGCGGTTTACCGTCATTGGAGGGCTTGCCACTCCCAGACGCCATTATTTTCAGCGAAATTTTTAGTAAACTAGAATTGGAATCACTTTGTTCCTTGGCTTGCGTTTCCCGGGGACTCCGTTCAATTGTTTCTCAAGCTCTTTCAACTCTCCCTTCTCTTGATCTCTCTGTAAGCATTCATTTTCGAATAATTATGTGCATAACTCCTTTTTGTTTTAGATTTAATAAACTGAATGGTTAATTGAGATGATCTTGGCTGCCTTTTGAGTTCAAGAAACATTCTAGAAATTTATTATCTGGTCATATCTGCGTGTTGTAGAAATTGCTTTGTTACAGTTACAGATTATGCTGTTCTTTAGAGAAAAAAAGATACAAATTTGTGTGGGAGGTTTTTATGTTTGAATATCATTGAAGGGGATGCTTACATAGTTAAATGTGCGTGGAATAATAGGCAATTTCACTGAATGGCGAGATTCTGGATCGGATTATCCCGAAATTTAGAGGGGTGAAGAGTGTAACTATTGATTGTCTCCGGTTGGATGATTCCTCCGTAATCCGCATTCTTGGGCCGCATATCCAAGAATTGAATTTGCTCAAGTGTGCCTCACTCTCTTATAACATTCTTTCTTCTATTGGTAAAAGATGCCCCAATTTAAGGTACATTCTTTATTAGATTTGGAATCTTAAAGTATGCTGTATCATGTTAATAAAAATGGCAAGTACTCTTGAGTTGTAGCTAGGAATTTCATTGCCATCAATTTCAGAACTATCCTGTTTGCCTTTGATTTGCAACCATAAAAAGAGCATACATTGATTTGCATAGTGATTGAAAAAGGCAAGGCTAGGCTTAAAATGACGATTTGCCTAGCTTAGTTATCTCTGATATATGTATTTCAGGATTCTTGTCCTAGAGTTGGAAGGAGAGACATCGCCTGAAATTTTCCAGAAGAACCTTATAGAAATGCTGAAAGGCATTCTCTGTTTGGAGGTAAGTGTTTTCATATTGTTTATTTAACTGCTTTTACTATTTATTTTAAGCAAGTTTGGTCCTTCAAATAATTATTCGTTTCACAGAATTGAGTTCAGCTATCAACTTATTAAACCTGTAACTTTTGCAGTCTCTATCCATAAAAGTCCGTGGAACAGAACTTGCTGCATATGATTTAACTTGCATTGATCTCTTCCTACCCCAAACTCTCAAACTTCTGGAATTGCAACCTGTGAATGAGCAAGACGCTATTCTGTTTATAAAAGTACTTGGAGATGGAAAAAATAATCCAGGACACTTGGTCAATTTTGCCATGCCCTCAAATTTAGGACGCACTTGTTTTACACTGCTGCGTTTGTCACTTGTCCTGAATGTTATGTCCGATGAACTTATCATCTCAATTGCCACTTCCCTTCCATTTTTAGTTGAGCTGGATCTTGAAGACAGACCAAGCACTGAACCAAAACTGCCTCGTGACTTAACTAACACTGGGTTGCAATCTCTAGGCTTGATTCAGCATCTCACCTCTCTGTCAATTGCGCGGAGTAGACTGAATTATCCAGCGTCTTTTAAAAGAGTAAACGATTTGGGGTTAATGCTTCTTTCTGAGAGTTGCAGAGGCCTAGAGTCTGTGAAACTTGGTGGGTTTTCTACAGTTACTGATGCAGGGTTTTCGTCCATTTTATGCTCTTGCTATAATTTGAAGAAATTTGAGGTTCGCAATGCACCTCTTATGTCAGACTTGGCTTTTCACGACATCATTGGGGCCGTCTCTCCTCTTACTGATCTGAGAATCTTGTCATGCAATCTCATAACTAGCGAAGCTGTGGCTGAACTTGCTGCATCTACGACGTTAGAGGTGCTTGCTACTTATGGTTGCAGAAGCATAGCCAACCCCTGTCTTGGCTACATATCATGCCTGGGTACACTAACCACCCTTAATCTAGGAGGAGCTGACATCACAGACAATGGTCTTGCTGTTTTGGGTAAAGGGGACTTACCGATTGAACGTTTGACTCTTAGAGGATGTGTGAGAGTCACTGACAGAGGAATATTCTCCTTGCTCAATGGTGGGGAGAAAATCAAGAAGACATTATCGTCTCTAGATATCGGTCATATGCCAGGAATATCAGATAGAGGTATTAAAACAATTGTTTCTAGTGCTCAAGCTATTACTGAGTTATGTATGAGGTATTGCTTTCATGTGACTAATGCTGCTTTGAAAATGTTGGCTTCTGAGAGATCCAATAGAATTAATTTGCTTCAACGACTCGATCTTTGTCATTGCACGAGTTTCTCGATTGGACTTCTGGAACTATTGCAGGACAGTTCATTCCGTGGCTTACGATGGCTTGGAGTTGGCAGCACTTCTTTGGTTACTACAAGGGATAATTGCAGAGTCATCTGCACAAAGAGACCATGGCTGACTCTTTGTTTTGAAGGCTGTGAAGTTGGATGTCATGATGGATGGCAATTCCACAAGTCTAATGGCGAATCATCTTGAGTCTCGTTTAATTTTCCCTCATTAGAAATTTAATGTTTTTACAAGATATTTAGCACTTGATTGGTTTCGAAGGGATTGTTAGTTTTGTACGTGTAATTCAATTGATCTTATTTTTATTTCAGATGACTTTCTCCAATATATATATAATATAAAATATAAAAATTTCAAGAAAGGTTCTTCTTTTTCTAATCAACATATCCCAACCCACTATGCTGTCATCACTGTCACATCTTCGACGCCACCGAACCATTGGGATCTCTCATTGGAAAATCAAGCAAGAAAGTCGTTTTTGTTAGTTTTACTACATTTACATCATGGTTAACGTCTTTGTTAACACTTCATAAAGTGGCGCACAATTTTGCCATTGATTTTAATAATATTTAAAACAATCAATGACCTGGATTTTTACACGTCATTGAATGTAATCCATGATGTACAAAAGTGATTACAAGTAGTTTAATTCATTTTGTGTTCCTTAGTCAAAAGCTCTCACCTTTTGTACAATTTGTACATTGATTTCATTTGAATTTTAGGGAATTTTAGGGAGTGTATACAACAAATAAGCATAGTAAACCATTGGTTGGGAGACAAAGACCTCTAGAAGTGAATAAAGATAGATAGCAAAGCTTTCGGAGTGCAACCTCATACATATCAATTAGGCCCTTTGGGTGAATTCCATTAAAAAAAGGACAATTTGCACCAAAAATGAAAAGGTTTGGGACCATCTGCACCACATTTGAAAAGTTTGGACCAAAAATGCAATTCGGGTAAAGTTTTGGGACTACTTGCTCAAATTTCCCGAACATTTCTTGAAAAAACTTGCTAACAAAAACTTTACTTGAAACAATTGTGCCAAATGGTGCCGTACATAAGGGACTATGGTCTAGAAATAAGGACTAGGCCTCTGCAATAATCAAATGTGCACCAACTTGAAGTCATTTCTCAAATCTTTTCCAAAAACATAAGGGATAAATGTAGTCACAATACCAAACCTTTCATTTAATAGTAGATTTTGTCCAAATATTTCACTTGTACCAATATGAGTACCAAACTTTCAAAAAATTCGCAACTCAAGTCCAAAATGATGATTTTTGTCAATTTGACTACAAAACCAATAGTTGACTCCCAAAAAAAAAAAAAACTTAATTATTTTTCTCAAACATTTCTCTTATTAAATCAAAAATTAAAAAACAAAAAATAAAATCACAATACACCTTTATCTCCTTCTTCCAAAAAACTAAAATCACTCCACCCAAACCGCCATCGTGACCGTCGGCAGCCTCCACTACCCAACCATCGAAGAGAGAAGGAAGGATACTTCTTCTTCACCAAATCAAAGAGCCACCGCCAACTTCAACTATTACAATTTCAATAGTGATTCACTATGATAATCCTTCGTTTGTTTCTCATTTTTCATCCATAAAAATAAAAAATATGATCGTTATTTATCACATCAAACTATCAATTTTGAATTTCTATCTCTTGTGCGGGGCCCAATAACGACTATATTTTTCATTCTCATTCTACCGGGCCCTAAAAGCTAAAATTAAAAATAAAAATCGATTACCACAATGAGGAGGGGGTCCTAGCTTCGCATACTCCCAATGCCGGTAATTCGCAAGCTTTGAAGCTCTTGGCCTAACTGCAGCTACAACCGTCTAAATTTCTGATCATGACCAAAAGGTGGTCTTGTTGGCCAAAATTGTGGTGGCGATCTGTAATGCTGCTGAAGGTGTGTGCCAAATTCGGTGGATTTTGGTTTTGCAGCGGTAGGTGGTTAAAGTTACAATTTTATCCTTTTAAAAGTAATCATAATTATGGTCAATGTTAATTCTTTGGTCAACTAACAGTTTCCATTCATTTGAACTTCAACTGCAAGTTTTTGAAAGATTTGGTACCGTGGGTGGTACAAATGAAAAGTTTGGGTCAAGTATCCATAAAAATAAAATGTTTGCTACTATGACTGCAATTTTCCCAAAANAAAAAAAATGGGGCCAAAAATTAGGCCCCCTCCAAGCTTGGGCCGAAGGCGGCGGCCTCACTCGCCTCGCCTCAGGGCTGGCCTTGGATAAATGTAGTCACAATACCAAACCTTTTATTTAATAGTAGATTTTGTCCAAACATTTCACTTGTACCAATATGAGTACCAAACTTTCAAAAAATTCGCAACTCAAGTCCAAAATGATGATTTTTGTCAATTTGACTACAAAACCAATAGTTGACTCCCAAAAAAAAAAACTTAATTATTTTTCTCAAACATTTCTCTTATTAAATCAAAAATTAAAAAACAAAAAATAAAATCACAATACACCTTCATCTCCTTCTTCCAAAAAACTAAAATCACTCCACCCAAACTGCCATCGTGACCGTCGGCAGCCTCCACTACCCACCCATCGAAGAGAAAAGGAAGGATACTTCTTCTTCACCAAATCAAAGAGCCACCGCCACCTTCAACTATTACAATTTCAATAGTGATTCACTATGATAATCCTTCGTTTGTTTCTCATTTTTCATCCATAAAAATAAAAAATATGATCGTTATCTATCACATCAAGCTATCAATTTTGAATTTCTATCTCTTGTGCGGGGCTCAATAACGACTATATTTTTCATTCTCATTCTACCGGGCCCTAAAAGCTAAAATGAAAAATAAAAATCGATTACCACAATGAGGAGGGGGTCCTGGCTTCGCATACTCCCAATGCCTGTAATTCGCAAGCTTTGAAGCTCTTGGCCTATTTTGGCGGGTGCCGATTTTGGTGCGTTTTTAGTTTTACGGGGTGGGGTGTGAGGAGGTGAGTGGAGAACTAGATGAATATGGTTCTTAGTGTGTGCCGATTTTGGTGGATTTTGGTTTTGCGGCGGTAGGTGGTTAAAGTTACAATTTTATCCTTTTAAAATTAATCATAATTATGGTCAATGTTAATTCTTTGGTCAACTAACAGTTTCCATTCATTTGAACTTCAACTGCAAGTTTTTGAAAGATTTGGTATCGTGGGTGATACAAATGAAAAGTTTGGGTCAAGTATCCATAAAAATAAAATGTTTGGTACTATGACTGCAATTTTCCCAAAATATAAAAATGATTAACAGAACCTGATAAAATCATATCAAATATAAAGAAATAGAAAACAAACACCATCTCGATTCCTGCAATGTCATGAATTCTTAAGATTAACATTCAAGAGATATCTTGTATGTGCATCAGCTTCAAAAGGAGATTTGCCACCGCGGGAAGATGATGATGATCGGCTTTCAGATATAAGCACTCCGTCCACCCCTGCGACTTTGCCGGTCATATGCAGTGTTGAATTTATCGACCAGCTCATTCATCGTGCTGCCCAAACAACAAAAGAAGAGTATACATATAACATGAGGCAACTTAAAATTAATCTGCGGTATATGAAGCAGTTAAATTCATTGATGAGCCAAAACCAGAGTACTGCGTATACCGGTAGCAAATTCTATCCATTAGCTGAAAGGAAAATGGATCATTTTTAACTGAAACGGATTGGTTCTAAAGATAACCCAGCAAAAGTAGAGCAAAATCATTATTAAAATTGTGTGCCTGCCAGCAAATGCTATACAAACTTTACCTGCATCCTAATGTAAAACTGATCTTTCTGTTTTCAACCATGACACTGCTTCTCCTTTTATTATTTAAGACTTTTTAAGTCGAGAATTTCATCTTCTAAAAGCAAATAGATTATTAGAAGGCTAATAACATACCTCGAGCAGTTGGTGAACATGGCAAGGTAACTAATCAATAACGTGTCATTGTATTCCTGGAAATAATATATAATATTAAAATCAGAAAATGATAAAAATGAACATATTCCAAGATTACATGCAAGTTAGTTAAGATCTATCAACGTACAAATGTGAGAATCAATTTAAGCAAATGAAAAATACAGAAGAAAAATGCAACAGCAACAAAAAGTAAACAAGAATTTCCCCTACACCTATCCATTAACCCCCATAAACAAGTGAAGCATACATAGTACTGATACGTAAATTATCTGAAGGAAAATCATAAGTACTCACCATCAAGAAATCATCCTGAAACTTTTCAGATTCAATGGCTGGCAATCTTCTTAAGAGACTAGATACTTGCCTTAGCAATGAATTTTCACAAGGAACATCACCTGAATACAGCAGTAACTCAATTAACAACTTATAGCTGTGGCCCTTAGGAGACCTGACTTTTTTGGCCATTCATCTTATAAGGCTCATCAAGGAGGGCAATCAAAGCTCTCTAAGAACAAGATATACTTGCACTAGGCATTTCTAGACTGTGAAACTTAAAACATATATAAGCAAATAAACCACTCTTTCTTTATTTACTTCATTCAGAATTTGGAATTTAGATCCACCGAGAACTTCAGATTCTGTTTTAAAAATATGCTTTATACATATCTCTTCCTAACCAAAAAGCACAAGAAACATTTTTGACAAATGAAATCCTCCCACACACGAGTCAAAATAAACCCCGTGCCAAAAAAAAGAGAGAAAAAAGATCTCCCCCCAAAAGTTGCTGAATATACCTTTCTGCATTGCAAGAAGATAATGATGAAGTACTCTGATTCTGCTATTCAGCATCTTGATGGCACTGTGTATGCCTGTAAGGTGAGCAGCCACTACAAACAAAATTCATTTGTAAGTCCTACAAACAAAATTCATTTGTAAGTCCTATGCACATACTACCCACAACTAAAAGGAACAGGGGTTGGCAGGCATGAATTTCAGGTCCCTAACAAAAGAAATTTCTCACTTAGCAACGGTTTGAGCCCTATTATCTAAAAACTCATTCTCAACTATACATTCTCCCAATAAAATACTTTGCACATAAGCCCGAAACTTTTTTTACTTTTTAACCACGTATTCTTCAAAAATCACTTTCTTTAAAAATGGGACTCAAACAGAGCTTTAACTTCAGATGGAAACAGCTAGGGATAACTTATATCAAGAAAACTTATATAAAAAGAGGAAAGACTCACATTGAGTTGCAGCTGAACCCCCATCGGATGGTTTAAGATGTGCAACATGATCAATGGAGATTCGTTCAGCTTCAACTGTCTGACGAGCAAGTAAAAATGATATTTAAGTTTCTTGATGTCAAACTTGTGAGAAACACAATCTGAAAGAATGTGAAGAACATACCTCTATTGTGTAGCTGGACCGAACAAAAATAAGCTGGGGGATACCATCAATCACATGCAATTCTTGAGAAAGAATAATTGGTTGCAAAAAATAAAAATAAAAAAAATTAACAAACTTTACATATGAATTATAATTTTAAAACAGTCAAATTAGCAGGTATTATGATTGCGTGAACTATTAACAAATGTAAGGTCTAATCACTAATCAAACAAGAATATATCCTAAACACGGCTCCAGGCATTCTCAAGGTACTTGATATTTTTGATGTGGCTTGCCCATTACTACATACATGAGGTGAACCACAAACAAGTAATTAGGATATCAGAGGGCAGTATATCAGCACAGCTCTTCATTTTTCAATATGTGAAACTACTTACTTCACTCTCTCCCAACCAGGGACGAATGGTATCTATTAAGAATACTAGTGAACCATGTACGAATTTAGAAGCTTTCCCTAAAAATTTAGAAAATTCTCAACAATTTCCACATATTGAAAATTTTATGCAAAAATTATTTCCATGACCTGGGAATTTGTGTATATGTATAATGGTGTCTCACAACTCAAACCATTTTGTCTAAATTAACCATGAAAGCATGATAGACAGACCTTTGAAATTCACACGTCATCAATTGGAAACACTTAGACGCACAACCTTATAGAGCTCTCATGTACTCTCTCAAGCCAACATGCAGACCTAGTATCTATCCTAATTCATGAGCGCTCTATCCTTTAACTCATCGAAGGCGGCCAGTAATTAAAACTCTACAGTCATATAGGTAGACTTATAACGAGTGGGCCATAACTAAATTACTTCAACACATTCGTGTTTCAAGTGCATGTTAGGTGAAGTTTATAATTGCATAGGACCCACAACTTTTACCTACTTTCACCCATTTATTAGCCACACATTTCGAAGGACCCACTACTTATAATCTAATAAGAGTATTGCCAAATTGCTCTAAGTCAGAGCATTTAGCTCATTCTGCCCTTCTATTGTCGCGTCTATGTACTATTGCATGGGATGAATTTTTCTCCAACCACCTTGTATGATGTATTTTACTCGTTAAACTCTAGCTATTGACATTTCAAAAGTTGAGTTGATTTCCCACGGTTCGAGTATCATCCATCTAGTAGTCTTGTTTAATAGCATGCCTACGAATTTGATTGCAGAGTATGCTTTTAAGTGTAACACGCAACAGCCAAATAATAAATACATACCACTTTCAAAAATTGTAACTGGCAAATCTTTCTGAGCAGGGTTGATTGACGGATTGAGAAGAACATATAAAGGGCTCTCATTGATATCCATCAACTGTTAGGAAACAGAATTTTTCATCAGAATTAGGTAGCATACATGGATCTGCTGCTATTGTACATTTAATATAACCTAATATGTATTATCTCAGCATCTAAAGCTCTAGGGAGCCAGTATCTAATAAACTCAAACTCAATGTGTTTGTTTTTGCGACAAGTATTTTAGGATATATAATCATAGGTGAATCTAGTTGGTTATTATAACAATAAAAAATAATTAATATATTCGAGTACAGTTTAGTTCTTTTCTTTTTCCAGTGAAAGTGAAGTGGAATGGGAGATCTAATCCAGAAGAGGACAAATAACATATTGGCAGCAAATTAAGAGGCCAATAATATTCATTATCGAGGGCAGAAACAAGCAGCAGTTCAACAATCTTAGCATGTCAATACCTGACATGCCATGACATAAAATAGAAAAATTACAAATTTTCCTAAACCAGTATTTATCTTCAACTTCAATATAAACAATGAACAACTATATAAACGTCTTCCGAAATTCACAGCTTAGTTTATCCGTGCTCAATCTTTCCTGACTTGTATACTTAAAACTACAATCCAAACTCACATTCTCCTCATATTCCATATGCAAATTCTTTCCGTAACTATTTGTACTGAGAATATTCAAATTGCAGGTGATCTCAAAATATACCACTCCAGTCTCCATTCGAGTTTAAACAAAATTCATTCCATCAGACAAAACTGTATAATAACAGCAAAAAAACTCACAGCTCTGTGAATGAGCATATCGGATTCTTGGGCGTCGCTCCCCGTCGAGTACCATCCTAGTATATAAAAATTTGGAAACACCTTCTTATCTGCTCAACGCATGAAAATCACTACTTTCAATTTCCACCACCCAAAACGAAACAAATATAACATAAATAAACGAAGTACATACAGAGTTCCTGTTTTTTCTCCAGGAAGGCACGGTCCAGGGAGTGAGTAGATGGATCATATAGGAGCTCGAAACTGTTGAATATCTCAACAGTACGGCCGCGTTGGACGCCTATAACGCATCCGAACACTCGGAGTGGAAGCTGAGGCGGCGATGAGGATTCAGCGTCGGCGCCGTTGGAGGCGGAGGGAGCGTGAGTGGTGGTGGGAGGGGGTAAAGACTGGGACTTGATCCGAGTGTAGTGATCGGAAATGTTGACAATGACCAGTGGATGGAGCTTGAACGTTAACCCACTGCTCGACGATGACGCCATATTCTCTCCGAATCCTAAGCCCTTTGCTTATTTGATTGAAAATGGAACAGAAGGGCTTTAGCTTTCTTTCTCTGTACCTTTCCCTTTTATGGGGAATTTGGATTTGTAGCCATAAGTAGGATTGTACTTTGAGAAATTGTCAAATTTAACCCCCGTTTGGCCCCCCCTTTTTTTTCTTATTAAAAAACTCATTAAAATTTTGATTTTTAATCAACGAGAATGCTTGCAATTTCGTTTGATTTTATTGAAAATCAGGTTTTTTAATAGATTTTGATGAAAATAGATGAAACGTGTATCAAAAAATTAATAAAATTTGTGATTGTGTAACTGAAAATGAAATGGAGTAAAAGCGAATTTTGAAAAGATGGGCCAAACAGGAAATTTGTTTTTCTAAAATTTTGAGTCAAATTGAATTTGTTGTGTAATTCTTGTTAGGGCTGGGTAAAATATCTGAACAGGATCGAACGGGTTTTCCTAAATTAAAAATTCGAATGGGTATCTAAATCGAGAACCGATAGGTTTGGTTCGGTTCTTGGTTCTAGATCAAGAACCGAAGAATCGAATAAGAACCGAATTTTTTTTTGGGATAAATATATAGGATTCAAAACCATATTGAAACATAATTCGAATTAACGGTACTCAGAGCTCTCTGAAAAGAACACTTTTTTTTTTGAGTCACTCGATGACATGCAACACGGAAACTTCATTAACCCACTCGATGAAGTTTTCGCTATGGCATGAGAAGCAACATGAACCACAACCACTTGTTTGCAAGAATTAGGGGAGGACGTGGGTCGGTTCGGTTCCAAAAATTTTCGGGTATTTAGTAAATGGAACCGTCGGTTCCAAATATAATTTTGGAACCGTTCGGTTTCGGTTCGGTTCGGTTCGGTTCGGTTCTATTCGGTTCCGTTCGGTTCCGTACTATAAATA